CTTATTCTGAGCGAATTTTATTATATTAACTACTGTGAGTTTTATTATATCTTTACTTGCGATTGAGAGCGAATTGTAATTTTTTAAAATTTTAACTTTGTAATATTTTTACCGTTTTATTTTTGTATATTTAACATTAATAATGATCCAACACTCAACAGGGATCGAAACGTTTGTTGTTTATGTTATATTGTTTATTGCCGGCACATTAAAGTTTTATATTCTGACTAAATGACATATTTATACTGTGTTTTTTTAAATTTATATTTCTAACGTACTCTAACTCTTAGGCTCGTAGCCCTTTTTCTCTCAAGTTTCATTTAACTGGATTATAAAGCATTTTTAAGGGAAGAAAAAATTTTTTTATATGTTCTAAAGTATATCGTTTTGTGATTTTGACATTCTCAAATAAAATGCTTTAATTTGATAATAAAAAACTCTATTAGAAAATGAAATGAGTACCTAATACAAAAAAATATGATTGAATATTAATTAATTGAAATAAACTACATATAAATATATATCAAATAAAGACAAAAGTCTCTTATCGTGTTCAAAACAGAACAGAGCGAATATTGGAACAATTCGCAAGGTTTAATACGAAAATTTGCAAGATTTAATATGTTAATGTGTCTGTAGGATGGATGAATTGATTCTGATTTCAGAACTTAAAACTTTATTCTATACTAATTACAAAGGTCTTCACAACGCAACGTGTCTTCTCGCCATTTTGTTCTGTCTATATCAACGACGCCCTCGTCGATCCTGTATCCTCGAAATTACGTTGCTCGAGAGTCGGTAAGTTAGCGCGCATCGGATTGACCGCAGGATCGCACTACTAATAATATGCGTGAACATGCCGCCCACCAATTAATCTTGATTAATTTGATTAATTTGATTCGCATCGGAGGATGGAAGTCTACAAAGCTTTACCACGGGTCGTTTAATCGTACCAGAAGCGGTTTTGACGGTCACGACACGAATTCGATCGTCCTTCCCAGGGTGAAGATCCACGACCTTGCCCAACTTCCATTGTAGAGGAGGAGAATTGGACTCGCATACAATGACAATATCTCCGATGGCCAGGGTTGGCCGATTGCGAGTCCATTTTGTGCTTGCTTGCAGTGACGTAAGGTATTCACGCTGCCATCGTCTCCAGAAGTCTTGCGTGATGCGTTGAACGAGTTGCCATCTGCTTAGTCTGTTCATAGCTACATCTGTCACATCGACATCAGGCAGGATTGTGATTGGCTCGCCTATCAAGAAATGCCCAGGCGTTAATGGTTGCAAATCTAGTGGGGTTGCTGGTAAACTGCATAGCGGTCGCGAGTTTAAACACGCTTCGACTTGGATCAACGCTGTATTGAGCTTCTCGAAAGTAAGTAGGTTGAGTCCGATGACTCTTTTCAAATGAAATTTACATGATCGCACACCAGCTTCCCACAGGCCTCCCATGTGCGGGGAGGACGGTGGAATGAAGCTCCACGTGATCTGCCTTAAATTGCAAAATTCAACTATTGAATCGCGATATTCTCCTTGGAGTGCTTCGTAAATCTTTCTCAATTCGGTCTTGGCACCATGGAAATTGGTTGCGTTATCGCAAAACAATTTTTGAGGACAGCCTCGTCGTCCAACAAACCGACGCATTGCAGCGATGAAAGACGCGGCTGACAGATCGCTAACAACCTCAAGATGAATGGCCTTTGTTGAAAAACAAATGAACAAGGCGATGTATGACTTATTGGTCTTCCTTCCTCGACCCTTGCTCACCAGAGTGGTGATAGGCCCGGCGAAATCGACGCCGGAAACGAAAAATGTCCGTTGCGGTTTGACTCGATCTGGCGGCAATTGTCCTATGATTTGCGTCGCGTGCTCTGGTTTACTGCGAAAGCATCGCACGCACTCGTGAACTACTTGACGGGTGAGATTCCGTCCTCTAAGTGGCCAGTATTGCTGGCGAATTGAATACAATAATGCCTGAGGACCGGCGTGTGTTAGACGATGATGTTCTCTCTCGATCAAAAGTTTAGAGAAACGATCGGTTCCTGGAAGAAGAATGGGATGCTTCCCATTGTAATCAAGTGATGAATTTTCGAGTCTGCCGCCCACCCTGAGTAATCCTGTTTGATCTAGGAATGGCAGTAGGCATAGCAGTCGATTCTTCTGATGAACTTGACCTTGAGACCTCAAATCAGCAATTTCTCTAGCGAAGTACGTTCGCTGAATGTGTTTGACGATAAGCTGATTAGCCTAGAAGATCTCGTGGACAGACAATTCTGAAAGGACTCGCTTGGAACGATTCAATTTGGCGTTTGAAATGAAACGTAGACAAAAGGCAATGACTCGTTCAATCCTAGTCAACTTAGAGTAACGATTGATGATTGACTCGAGTACCGTTGATTCCCTCGTGGCAGCGACGAAGACTTGCCGCTCAGGTTTCAATTCAGCTTGGATCATATTCAACTCCCGTTCGGATAGACCCGTATTTGCATCGTCAACCGTTGTATACTCGGCGAAATCAGACAACCATGAAGGGCCCGACCACCAGAGTGAATTGTCCTTCAAATCCCCGAGCTTTGTTCCTCGCGACACGAGGTCCGCGGGATTTTTCTCCCCTCGCACATGACGCCAATGGGAAGAGGACAAGCTCGAAGGTATTCGAGTGACGCGATTGGCTACGAAGGTTTTTTGTCGACTTACATCCCCCGATATCCATGCAAGAACTATTGTTGAGTCAGTCCATGCGCGGACAGAATTGAACTCGATCAGTAGCGCATTTCGTACTGAGTCTACTATGTTAACTAATAATGTTGCCCCGCAAAGTTCTAATTTCGGAATCGTAATTTTCTTGACAGGTGCCACTCGCGATTTGGCACATAGCAGCATTGAATGGAATTCGTTCGCATCGTTCACGGTTTGAATATAAACGCACGCGCCGTACGCCCTTTCTGACGCATCGCAAAACGCGTGTAAATTGACAATGGTATGAGGTAGAGGACCCATGGCGTGCCTCGGAACCCGTATGGTGTTCGAATCTCTTAAATCTTGTATATGTATAATTGTCCCATGCGTTTCGAATCCTGTCTGGGAGTTCGTCGTCCCATCCAAGATCTGCTTGCCATGTCTCCTGCATGAGCATTTTTGCACGCACCACAATTGGACTTATTATCCCGAGTGGATCGAACAATTTGGAAATTGCTGATAGCAATTCTCTTTTCGTCTTGACTTGAACGTTCGCTTGCGTATTGAATTGAAACGTGTCGCTTGTCGGATCCCATTCAAGCCCCAGAGTTTTCACGGATTTATTTTCGGCTACAGGTACGCGGACCTCCACTGAGTCACCTGATTTCTCGACGAAAGAAGCCAGCTCTGCGCGACTGAACTTCCATTTGTGCAAACGAAATTGTCCCTTGCTAAGTAAATCTTGAAGTTGCTCGATTAATAGTTTTGCGTCTGATAGACTGTTGACTCCCGTCAGAATGTCATCAACGTACAGGTCTCGAAGTAAAACGTGAGAAGCTTGTTCGTAATGCTTAGATTCCTCAATTGCTAATTGTCTAACGCATCGAATTGCTAAGAATGGAGCGCATGACTCTCCGTACGTAACCGTATTTAATTGATATTCTTGAATGGGATCGTCAGGCGAGAAGCGCCATAGAATTCTTTGAAAGTCTCGATCTTTCTCGTCTACCTCGATCTGTCGGTACATTTTTTGAATATCGGCAGTTAAGACAATTGAGCTTAGTCGAAATCTTAAAACAATGTCAAACAGATCGTCCTGTAACGTCGCGCCTATCATCAGAGTTTCATTTAATGACACGCCTGAACTAGTTTTTGCGGACGCGTCAAGAACGACTCGCAATTTTGAATCACCCTGAGATTCTTGAACCACACCGTGATGCGGCAGATAGATATTGAAATGAGTTTGTTCGCAATTTGATGACACGGCAGACATATGTCCCAATTTAATGTATTCGCTCATGAACGCGACATAGGATTCGCGAAATCGCTCGTTGGCCTTCAATTTACGCTCGAGATGAATTAGACGTTTCTCGGCAATCGTTCGTGATTCTCCCAATAGAGCCTTGTTCTCGCGAAAAGGAAGTCGAACGATGAATCTGCCGTTCTGATCACGTGACGTGGTTGCTTGAAACAAATTCTCGCACTGTCGTTCCTCGTTGGACAGATGTGAGTGACTGCTGTCCTTACACTCGTCAATCTCCCAGAACCTTGTTAATTGATCGTTCACGTTTTCTCCTTGATCATAAAGACAAGTCAGGGCAGTGATAGTCGGCAGACTCATCAATCGACTTGTATTTACATTCAGTGGAATTGGACCTGAAATGATCCACCCGAATTTAGTATTCTGCAGGCTTGGCAAATTCGTCCCCAGGTCAATCTTTCCTTGATCAAGTAATTGTAGGAAGAATTCTCCGCCCAACAACATGTCAATCTGGCCTGGATTGGAAAATTGTGGATCGGCTAACTTAATTGTACTGGGAATTGCAAGTGATTTGACATCGATCATCACTCCAGGCAGATCCTTTGTTATCTTCGGTATAACGAGACATTGAGCAGTTATCTGACAAGTTGACACGCGGGAATTAATTGTAATATGACTAAATTGACTGATTTTACATGACATGTCATTCAACTCGGAAATTGATTCATTAAATTCGAATGAGATTGATCCCAATCTGTTGCATGCTGACCTTGTGATGAAATTAGCCTCGCTTGCACTATCTAACAGTACTCGCAGTTGTTGGATTGAACCGTTCGCATGCGTTGTGTTTACAATTGCCGTCGACAACAAAGTATACTTAGCGGGTTTCGATTTTGAAACGTGGTGAACTGCTGGATCTTCCCCTACGGTACTCGGCTGGCTGGCCTCACTGGTTGAGATGTCCTTGCTTGAGGTGAGAGGTTGTCCACCGGCCTGCTTGTGACATAATGTGTTATGTCGCCCTGAACACTCCCTGCAAGAGCTCGCTCGGCATGATTTGACGAAGTGATCGTTTTTCAAACAATTGGTGCAGAGTTTTAAACGCTTGACTTCAGCCATCCGTTCGTCCACACTCATCTTCAGAAATTTCTCACAAGAGTAGATGAGATGAGATCCATTGCACACGTAGCACTTCCCACTGATATGGGCGGTTGCTACGAGTGTGACTGGCTTGCTGCCTTGACTGCTTTTCCTTGATGAGGTTTCATTGGTGGTAACCGATTTCGCCTTGAGCTGAGAGCTGGATTCCTTGACATGAACATTGGTCGTCGTCATCCTCTCGAGTAGTTGACACCTTCGTTGAAGAAAGCTCATCATCATGTCGACCGATGTCTTGTCCTTGGCCTCGATGGATTCCTCCCAGTGACGTCGTGTCACCTTGTCGAGTTTGTCTTCCATCATGAATAAGATTAGCTCGTCCCACGCGTCGGTGGGTAATTGTAAACCCTTCAGGATCCTCAGATGCTTCTGAGTGTGGTCGATCAAATTCTGAATTGCGGTAGCTGATTCTTTGTCCACTCGTGGCATCTCGAAGAGGCATTGAATATGACGTCTGTGTAACGTCTTGTCGTTGTCGAAACGGTCTCTCAAGAGGTTCCATGCGACCTCGTAATTCTGTTCGGAGATCTCGATCGCTTCGATTGCCTTTGCCGCACTTCCTGAGAGCGCACTCACTAAATATTGATGCTTTTGTACCCTTGACAATTCACTGTCGTGAATCAATGTCTTGAACGAATCAGAGAAATGTTTCCACTCTTCGACCTTGCCGTCGAAAGTTGGCAATTTTATGACCGGTAACTTCACACGAGACTTGATATTCGTTGTCGAAGATTGACCGTCCGTTCGTAGTACAGCGAATTGACGTAACATCTCTGCCTGCTGCTCAATTACTCGTTCTAGCGTGCTTGGATTTCTGCTATCGTTGCTTGTTGTCTGTGTTTGAAGCTGTTCGATCCATCTGATTAGCGTGGCCTTGATTTCGTAGTATCGACCTTCAAACTTTTCTTGTTCTGCTACATCATCAATTGATAATACGTGCTCTTGACTCACCTCGATTATTTTCTCTGCGACACATTGAAATTCCTTGTCAGCTGCGTCTAGCTTCTCGAGACGCACCGACAGATCCTCGCGCGTAGGAACGATTCTTTTGTTCGCTACTTCGTCGACATAGCTCCTTATGCGTGTGAGCTTCCCCTTGATATAGCCTCTACGACTACGAAACTCCTCGATGCTCATTGTGAATGATATGTGCTGATTTATCGCAACTTAACCTTGCTTGTCTCGATCGCACTGATGTCGTCTCGCCCCACTGCGTGAATTGTTGCAGCCCTCGATGAATCTGTCGTCGGCTATCCTTGATTCCTCGATACCTCCCCGACGCCCAGGCTCTCGGCGATAACGCACACCCTGCGTACACACTGAATGTCGGACGCGAGTTTCCCGCGCCTTGCTTGCCAGAGTTCTTTTCCGAACTCAGTATCACGGATCCCTTGCCAGATCCGGCTCGAAGGACCAATTTTATGTAGGATGGATGAATTGATATCTGATTTCAGAACTTAAAACTTTATTCTATACTAATTACAAAGGTCTTCACAACGCAACGTGTCTTCTCGCCATTTTGTTCTGTCTATATCAACGACGCCCTCGTCGATCCTGTATCCTCGAAATTACGCTGCTCGAGAGTCGGTAAGTTAGCGCGCATCGGATCGACCGCAGGATCGCACTACTAATAATATGCGTGAACAGTGTCCTCCGGAATTTTATCTGTATTATCAAAATTTTCAATAATATGTTATGAATTACTTGGATCACCAATTCTGATTCTATTGAAATTCTATTTCTATTTTTGTTCTTATTGAATATATGTAGTTTATTTCAATTAATTAAATAAAATTTTTTTATACTTATTTTATTTTCTAATAAAGAGTTTTTTATTATTAAATCGAGGCATTTGATTTGAGGATGTCAAAGTCACAAAGCGATATACTATAAAACTTGAAAAAAAAATTTTTTTATCCTTAAAAACGTTTTATAATCCAGTAAAATGCAACTTTTAAGGACCTGTAGGAGAACCGGAAAAATTCAAACTGCATCTTGTTCTGGATGAACAGACCTACAATTTGAAGGGAGTAACGACCTATTTGAACGCTTGGAAGCTTGCTAAAACCAATCTTGAACATAAAATTTGGTAATTTTTTTACATTACTCGGACTGTATTTCTTAAGGCGTACATCGTAGAATTATTACATCATGTTCAGCGACCAATAAAACATACAGTACCACATTAAAAATCCAGATTAAGCCATTTTTACATCAAATCAAACATGTATTAAGGAAAATCGAAACTTTTATTTAAAAATCGTTTACTAACGACCTTTAAATCTAAAAATTTTTTGATAAAAATTTAGGGGTACTTTTGTGACATGAAATGAAAGTTGTTGAGCTGAAAGGCCGATTAAAAAAATCCTATTTTTTTTCTTGTTAATCTAGTGTGTTTTGTGTATGTGTGTGCGTGCGTGCGTGTGTGTATGTGGTGTGTGTGTGTGTGTGTGTGTGTGTGTGTGCGCGCGCGTGTGCGTGAGCGTGTCGCGTACGTGTGCGTGTGCGTGTGTGTGTTGTATAATGTTGTATTTTATTATTTTTTAATATACAAAATGTGTCTGAATATATCTCTTTCAAAATAAAGGAAAGTGGTTTTTATAAAGAATCCCAAAAATAATAATGAATATATATCAAATACTCTCCATCAAATGGTATAATATTTTCAATTTTTGATTTGGATAGGATATCCAGCTCGGATGTTAAATTTTTTTAATGTAACGTTTTTATTGTAATTTTGGATTGTAAAAAAAAGAAATATTTATCCTTCTTAAACATTTTTTTCTGAAAAATACTTCCATTGATTTTGAAATCATCTTGAAAGTAAATGAAAAATGCACTTTTTTGTGACGGAAAAAATAAGCATTAACTATATTTTCTGAAAAATAGTTTAAGAAAAAAGTGTTTTATTTTTTTAAATATAATCCGAATCTGTACAGTATAAAGTACTACGTTACATTTAAAAAATTAAGTATTTTGTCTTAATACATCATTTCGGTCGGAAGTTGAAAACATGACTATTTAATAGAACGTGCTCGATTTATTTATCGAAATTTTTTTTATGATTATTTTTCAAAAAAGTCACTTTTCTTTATTCTAAAAGGAGTGTACGAACGATACCTAGTATGTGGAGAGAATTATCCTTAAGTACTTTAAAAGATAAGAGATAAGATCCGACCGTGTAAATGTGCAACGTATATGTGGTAGAGAGCGCCATGATCAGTCAAAGTTAGATGTTATGAATACAATATAAACTCTTAATTTAAATTTAATTATCTCAGATGTGACTGTGCCCCGAAACATTCGGACATTAACCACAATCGATCTGAGACGCTAATATAAATATAATATAAATATGATGAGTAGCCGAAACATTCGGACATTCCTATATATGAAATAAATCTCCCCCTAAATTAATTCGGTAAAGAACTTATTGCGAAAAATATACTTCAAAAGATTTTAAGAGATATAATTTCTCATATTAGGGTCATCACACAAAATGATATAAGCTGACTAAGTATAGCATAAAGTCCTTAGATCAATTAGCATCCAACATAAAGACGCCATGTTGACTTACATAAGATATTAGTTCATTGTTATGCTATGTTTATGCAGCTTATGTTATTTCGTAAGTGATGGCCCTAATTCATGATAAAGATATTATAATTCAAGGTAAGATATGGGACTATATAATATCCGAAATGGTCAGTTTCAAAGATATCCGCTTATCTTAGTTGAATAAAAAATAATTAACCCGAGTCAAAATTTTGACCCTTGATTAAACCTTTAATTCTATGATATAGTAGAAGCTAAAATATCAATATAGGTTCAATTATGACACAATTTACTCCTACTTTGACTGTAATGATGTCGCAAATTTCCTTTTTCAGTTTTGCTTTTAGTGTTAAAATAGGTTGATTTGCAATAGGAGTTAGGATAGTAAAATAGGTTTGATTACAACCATATCATCAAAGTAGTTTTATCTAGCTTATAGAACATTTAAATAGGTGCAAACTATCCTTAAGAATGTCAAAGTAGTATCAAAATCCTGTATCTCTGAATTGAATAAAGGAAAGCTCAGAAGTGCCCCGCATCGATTTCAGTGAAACTTGGCAAGATTATATAGAATATGTTCCTCTGAATCTGGAGATACGGTAGTGTCTCGACTCTAATACAAGCGAAATGTCATGGCGCGAAATACTGCCTATTATTATATCCTTATTTGGCGACAGATGGTCAACCGTCTTTTATTAACTTTGATAATTTTAATGTAATATATTCAACATAATATAAACTTCTTCACAATAAATTCATATATTATTGTTTGGTATAAAATATTATTACTGTTTACTTGATATGAAATGTTGTTAGAAATATGAAAATGTATATAAAATAAGTGAATAGAGCGAATTGTCAATGAAGCTTTGAAGAGTTTCCATCACTATAAAATAACAATGATAAAGGGCAAAGTAAGAGTCAACAATCAAATAAAAATAAAAATAAATTCAAATAAAACGTCTAATTTCAAATATAAAACATATAATTATATTATGCGTGTATTTTCGACAACTCATCTGTACATCGACCTTTGCGTAAATTGTCTGAAGAGGGCTCAATCTGGCAGCCGAAACTTGTAATATTATAATTTCTTGGTTTATATACATTTATATCGATGGTACCTGACGTTTCATGTTTCTAACTAATTATATGTTTCATATTTGAAACTAGACGTTTTATTTGAATTTATTTTTATTTTTATTTGATTGTTGACTCTTACTTTGCCCTTTATTAATGTTATTTTACTTTCATAGGAAGAGTCCTTCTATCTATCAAATATTCCATCACTATACTACAGATATTAGAGTATAAACTCTAATAAATAAATATTACTAAATTTAATATTAAAATATCTCGGAAACGATTGACCATCTGCCTTCAAATAAGGGTATGATTATATTTAGGAAAATATACTCTATAACCCTGTGAAGTTTTATTGAAATCAGTGAAGGCCACTTCTGAGCTTTCCTTTGTAAGCCGTTTCGGATATATAGTCATATAGAGTTGTCGCCTTGAATTAGTATGAGGAATCAACCCTTAAAATTTTTCAGAATACTTAAGCGTTACTCTGTATATAAACAATTCAATTTCACTAATATCATTTTTTATATCTACCAACTTTACATTGTAAGTATGTTATTAATATCATCATAATTATGGTTGGAAATACAAAAAATGACTTATGACATCGGTATTATAATTGCAATACCAAACGCTATGTTTAATCGTAAAATTCAGAATTGCGTGACTAACACCTTTCCTTGAAAAAATACTCTGTTGCTTTTGGCATTTTGGATATTCTCGTTATGAAATTAAATCGATTCCTTCGGCTATTTTTATTAATCAAGCTACGGAACGAAATGTGCACTTCACATCGTCAGTTGATTGATTCAATATTTAAATTAATCACGCCGGTTGTGCGCTTTGAACCCGGAAAGAAAGAATTTCGTGTATATATTATCAAAGTTTAATCCGCTTTCTGTAAAATAGAGACTGATATTTTCAATTTTCATTTGACAATTCGTATATACATAAAAATTAAATAGCGCTACGGTGAACAGATCGACGTATTTTGCATACGTTTTATTTGGTCATATCATATTTTGTTAGTATGAAAAAATAAGTAAGAACATATATCGTTTACGATAAGAATTAGTCTTCTACAATTGATATTCGATGTATTTAATAAAAATCCATTGTTTAAGCCTATTGAGAAGTTCACAATGTTTGTTGTTTTCTATTTACAATTATCTAGATAAAGAATTTTATTTTATCTTTCTCTTGATTATTAAAATATACATATTATGTCTATCTTTATTTTAGATAGAAGAAGTGCTATTTTCTTTAAATTATATTGATGTGTAGCGAGTTTAATATGCAATCATCATAATTTTAAAATATCCCTTTTTTTATAAATCGGATGTTTAAGTTTAATGTTTGCGATCAGTGCTGTCCAGGATGTGCAATTCTGAGTATTTATTTGATTTGTGTCAGCGTTATCACTTATATGTATGTAGATATATATCTTGTAGAAAGCATGGTGGAATGTTCGAATAACTCCAATTAAGAAATATAAAGAT